CCCAAAAAATCAGTGTATTCCTGGGAATTCCAGCTCTATAGAGATCAGCGCCCAAAAAATCAGTGTATTCCTGGGAATTCCAGATCTGCAGAGATTAGCCCCCCAAAAATATCAGTGTGTTCCCGACAATTCCAGCTGTGCACACAAACAGAGACCGACCCCCCAAAAACCAGTTTATTCCTGACAATCCATGAGCATCCCAAGCCCATCTTCTCCTGCTGGAATTGCTGCCTTTCCTTTCTCCTGCTTTTTAAGATGCAGCATCCAGCCCCAAACAGATGGGAAGCTGTCAGCACAGCACGGGATAATCACCCACTGGAGCCACGGGAAGCTCTGCTTTATGATCTTCTCAGCTTCCCTGGAAAAGATTTTCCCTTGGAAAAAGCACCCTGGAAATCCTGGTTTTGGTAGGGGTTAAATTCTTCCCGAAGTTGCTGTGGTGGTCAGGGAGGGAAAACGGCCTGGTCAGCGCTATGGAAATGCCAAAAAAGCAAAAAAAAAATCGGAATTAATCTGATAATTGCTTCAAGATTTTGGTTTGGAATCATGGAATCGTTGAATCATGGAATTGTTTGGGCTGGAAAAGAGCTTTGAAACAACAAATCCAGGTCAAAGCAGTGCTGAAGTCCAGCGCTCACCGATGGCCCCATTCCCACTGCTCCAAACCCTTCCCAGATCCATTCCCACTGCTCCAAACCCTTCCCAGATCCATTCCCACTGCTCCAAACCCTTCCCAGCTCCATTCCCGCTGCTTCAAACCCTTCCCAGCTCCATTCCTGCTGCTCCAGCCCCTCCAGGTCATGAAGGTCCCACTCCTGCTGCCCCCTGCCCAGCAATCCCAAATTCCCAGTGCCAAATCCTCTGTTTTTCATGGATCCCACCCAAACTTGTGCCTCTTTTGATGTCAGACCCTTCCAGAAGCCATCTCAGATCCTCATTTTCTCCTGGATGTTCCTTTGATTTTTTTTCCTCACCTCCTCCAGCTGGGAAAGGTGAAGGAGCTCAGAAATCCTCACCCATTTTTTTGAATTATTCTGGAATTCTGGGTTTTCTCATTATTCTGGAATTCTGGGTTTTCTCTTTATTCTGGAAGTCCCTTCCTCAGCTGGAGAAGTTAAAAATCCTCCATCAACCAGGAGGAATCGTGGAAAAAACCCTCAAGGGCAGCTCCGGGGAGGAACCTGCCTGCAGCTCCTCACGGAGCACCAAACCCACAATTATCCTTCCAAACCTGCTCCTTGCAGCCCTTAAAAAAGCGAATTTCAAAGGTTTTTTTCCTCCTTTTCCCTCGGTGATGTCATCCCTTTGCAGAGGAAAAAAAGGGTTTACATGAGTTCTGCCAGCACACGCTGGAGATTTTTGTCAGCTTTTTTTAAAAATTAGCAAAACCACCTGGCAATGTTTGATGACTGAAAATCGAGGAAGGGACCAGGAAAATTTAGCTCAGTTTTCCTGGAAATGGGGGGAAATTGCTGCCTGGCCTGACCTACTTGCTAAACAATAGGATTTGCAGGGTGAAAAAAGAGAAAAGGGAAGAAAAATAAAGGGGGAAAGGAAGAAAAATAAATGAAAAATGTTCAGAATTGGGTTTTTCCTCAGCTTTTTTAATGGGAAAGTTGTGGGGGGAGATGAAGGTGATTTCAGGATCCTCTGGTGGCAGCTGAAGGGAAATGTGCAGGTGTTTCTTGCTCCTTTAAATCATTTTTTTTGGGGGGAGATTGTGTTGGTAATTATCCCACCCTGGGATTCTGCCCTCTCCTCATCCCATTCCTTCATTTTGGGAGGGGAAAAAGCAGCTCCAGGTGATTCCACCCTGCCTTAAAAACACCTTTTCCCTGCAAATATCCCCCCAAAAATAGTGAATTCCCAGGTTCTTTGCGAGAAATGAAACCATTCCCATCCCTCCCTGCTGAGTGAGGCACAATAAATCCATTTAATACCCAAATTCTCCGCTCCCACTTGCACCCAGAGCTGAATTCTGCCTGGAAAATGCAGATTCAGAGCATCTATTTGAGGTTTTATTCCTCCACCCACGGGCCCTGCTGGAGCAATCTGCTCCCTCCTTGCTGTCAGTGCTGTTAATTATGGCTCAAGATGCTGCTTTGGGCCTGGGGTTGCATTTCCAGGGTAAAAATCTGTGTTTATTTGCATGGCTGAGGTGATTTTCCCCCTGTTTTGGGGGGTGTTGTTTGGTGTGGAAATAATTTTTTGACAGCTTTAAAATTTGTTCTTTATTTTCCATTAAAATTGGTGATTTAGGAGTGTGTATATTAATGGAATATACTGAAAAAAATGGAATATTGATATAAAAATGGAATATTTCTATCTTTAATTGCAGATCTGCTGCTTCTCCACTCAGAGAAATAGAACAAGGCACCAGGATGGGAGAATTCTTTAATCCTGATTAAATTAAATTAAATTAACTCCTACCTGTTTGTATTGTTAGCACAGTTTCTCCCAGCCTGAAGGAAAAAAAGGGATGAAAAGGGTGAAAGGGAAAATGGGAAAAAATGGATTTATTATTTACTTTTCTAATGGGAATAAACAGATAAAAGAAAAGGAAGCCTGGATGTGAAATTATGCCCTGAGGTCTCATATTATGAATGACCTTGAAATGATTTTTTTTATATTTGAAGGATTCCTCACCTGAATCCTTCCCTAAATCCGGATTTTCTCCCAAAATCCCAGCTGCAGCACAAAACCCCAGGGCTTGGTGCAATTCTTGCTCTTTAAAATGTACTTTTCTTTAAATCTGTGGCATTTCAGAACTCTTGGATGTTTCCCAGCAGTTCCAGGGGCTGCGGGGGAAGAGAAGGACCCAAAATCTTGCTGTCCCCATGTGCAGAAAAACAGGAAAAAAACCAGGCCTAAAATGATTGGAATTAATAATTCAAAATTTAACCATTGGAAAAAAGTGAAATCCAGAGAAAAACCCACATTAACTCATCACCATGACAAAGGAGATCAGACTTGGGGTAAAAACTGGATGATAAATTCCCTTTTTCTTCCCACTTGGGGGAAAGAACCAATTTTTAGGGAAATTCTTGATTTGGGAATAAAACTTCCAAATCTGGGGTACGACCACGATTCAGCTCGAGCATTTTGGTGCTTTTATGCCAAAAAATGCAGCCAAAAAAACTCCCCAGGGGCTGAAAGAAAGTCGAATTTGGGGTCTGAGTGCCACCAAACATCCATACTTATCTGTAATTGTTCCATAAATTCAGCAGATGAGAAGGAAAATATTAATTAGACAGACCCTGCCTTTGGCACTAATCACCAGCAGTGACAGCTGAGCCAGCCAGGGGATAAAATACACCCAAAATTTGATTATCAGAATAAATAGCTGAAGAGCAGGAGAAAATTAAAAATAAGGGGGGGGTGTGAAATCCATAATCCAACAGCATTTGTGGTGGGGGAATGAAAATTTACCTCCTGCTGGATTTGGGATTTATTTTTCCCTTAGTTTAGGGCTCGATTTGTGGGATTATTTTGCAGGTGAATCCTGAATTTTGATGGCACAGAAGGAGTAGAAAACGCTGAGAGGTCCCGAGTCAAAGCCTCCCTTGGTGTTGGGGTATCCCAATATCCATCCAAAGCCAGGGACTCATCCCAGACAGGGGGGAATGGAAGCAAAATTAGCAAAAAACTAAAAATAATGAGGTTAAGGGGTGATTCTGAAGTTTCCTGTGACGTCCAGGTGCTCCTCGTGGATCTGAATCCTGGATTAGTCCAGGATTTATCCCAGAGTTTTGTCCCTAAACCCCTCTCTGTTCCCACTGGCCAGCAGAGGACGAATTTTGGTGGAAATTCAGATTTATTTCCCCCCTCTCTCTGTCTCCTTCAGGGCCAAAAGTCACAATTAGCAATTTAGCAAACTAATTAATCGCCCAAAAGAGCAGCAAAGTCGTGGGGCCACACAGATCCTGGAGGTGAATCCTCTGCAGGGTTTTGTCCTCGGGATTCTTTGGGATGGATTCCTCAGGAAGGATTCTTTGGGATTCCTCGGGATGGATTGCTCAGCATTCCTTGGGATTCCTCAGGATGGATTCTTTGGGATTTCTTGGGATTCCTTGGGATGGATTCCTCAGGATTCCTTGAGATTCCTTGGGATGGATCCTTCAGGATGGATTCCTCGGGATTCATCAGGATGGATTCCTCGGGATGGATTCCTCGGGATTCATGGGGCCACACAGATCCTGGAGGTGAATCCTCTGCAGGGTTTTGTCCTCGGGATTCTTTGGGATGGATTCCTCGGGAAGGATTCTTTGGGATTCCTTGGGATTTCTTGGGATTCCTTGGGATGGATTCCTCAGGATTCCTTGAGATTCCTTGGGATGGATTCTTCAGGATGGATTCCTCGGGATTCATCAGGATGGATTCCTCGGGATGGATTCCTCGGGATTCATCAGGATGGATTCCTTGGGATGGGTTCTTTGGGATTCATCAGGATTCCTTGGGATGGATTCCTCGGAATTCCTTGGGATGGATTCCTCGGGATTCCTTGAGATGGATTCCTGGGGATCCCTCGGGATGGATTCTTCGGGATCCCTCTGGATGGATTCCTTGGGATTCCTTGGGATGGATTCCTTGGGATTGTTGGGATGGATTCCTCAGGATGGATTCCTCAGAATTCCTCAGGATGGATTCCTCGGGATTCATCAGGATGGATTCCTTGAGATGGATTCCTCGGGATCCCTCAGGATGGATTTCTCGGGATTCCTCGGATAAATTCCTAGGATCCCCTTCAGGATGGATTCCTCGGGATTCATCAGGATGGATTCTCAGGATGGATTCCTCGGGATTCATCAGGATGGATTCCTTGAGATGGATTCCTCAGGATTCATCAGGATGGATTCCTTGGGATGGGTTCTGTGGGATTCATCAGGATTCCTTGAGATGGATTCCTCGGGATCCCTCGGGATGGATTTCTCGGGATTCCTCGGGATAAATTCCTAGGGATTCCTTGAGATGGATTCCTCGGGATCCCTCGGGAGAAGCGCTCAGCACTGCTCGGCCTCCACAAATCCCTCCTTTTCCTGGCTGGCCGCCTCCACCTCGGCGTACGAGGCGTGGTTGCCGTGGTTGCGGAATTTCATGGCAGGCCAGCGGTGCGGCCTCCGCTGGGGACACAAACAGAGGAGGTGAGCGGCTGGGACAGGGCCCTGTGCCCCAATTCCTGCAGGGAAAATGGGGGAAATGGGGGGAAAATGGGGGAAAAAATAGGGGGGGAAATGGGGAAAAAGAGTCCTGGGCACAAAGGGTGCTGTTGGTGTGAGCGGTTTGAGTGATAAAAGTGAATTTTAAATGTTGTTTCATGGTTCAAAAGGGTTCTTCGGAATGCATGGATCTCACTGGATGGGAAGGACATGGATCAAGGGATCTGGGATGGGGGGAGGAACAGGGATCTGTGAAAGGAGAAGGACACATATCCAGGGATCTGAGAAAGGAGAAGGACACATATCCAGGGATCTGGGATGGGGAGGTTGTGGATCTAGGGATCTGAGATGGTGGGGAAGACACAGATCCAGGATCACAGATCCAGGGATTTGAGAAAGGGAAAGGACACAGATCCAGGAATCTGGCATGCAGAGGATGTGGATCCAGGGATCTGAGATGGTGGGGAAGGACATAGATCCAGGGATCTGAGATGGTGGAGAGGGCACAGATCCAGGATCATGGATCCAGGGATCTGAGATGGGGGAAGGACACAGATCCAGGATCCAGGGATCTGAGATGGGGGATTTAAAATGTTGTTTCATGGTTCAAAAGGGTTCTTCGGAATGCATGGATCTCACTGGATGGGAAGGACATGGATCAAGGGATCTGGGATGGGGGGAGGAACAGGGATCTGTGAAAGGAGAAGGACACATATCCAGGGATCTGAGAAAGGAGAAGGACACATATCCAGGGATCTGGGATGGGGAGGTTGTGGATCTAGGGATCTGAGATGGTGGGGAAGACACAGATCCAGGATCACAGATCCAGGGATTTGAGAAAGGGAAAGGACACAGATCCAGGAATCTGGCATGCAGAGGATGTGGATCCAGGGATCTGGGATGGGTAGGAGGACACGGATCCAGGGATCTGAGATAGGGATGATGTGGATCCCAGGATCTGAGATGGTGGGGAAGGACATAGATCCAGGGATCTGAGATGGTGGAGAGGACCCAAATCCAGGTAATATTTACAAAATTAAAAATTTAAATTAAAAAAATTTACAAAACTAAAAATTTAAAATTAAAAAAATACACATTTTTAAAATTTACTAATTAAAAAAATTACTAAAATACATTATTAAATTATTCAAGTATTTGTTCTATTCGTTGTCCAAATCACAAATTATTACAAACAAAATTGAGTTTAAAAAAAAAGCCTATACTAAGTAAAAAAACCTTTAAATGCTATAACTCTTTTCACTAATAAATTTTTTAAAAAACATAAATGAATAATATATAATATAATATAATAATTATTAATAAAAAACACATAAAATAATACTTTAACAAAACCAAACAACCAAAACATAAGACTCAAATATTCAAACAATAAAACCAATTCAAACAATAAAATATAATAAAAAATAAAAATATAATAAAAATAATCAAATTATAAAAATAATTCAAACAATAAAAAACTCTCATCAGGATAAAACAGAGTATTCCCAACTTTTTTCACTGGCTGGAATTGCTAATTACTAATTGCTAGTAATTGCTAATGACTAATCAAGGTGAGGACAGCAGGAATTGATCACTCTGGGGTCCCTGTGCTCCCCACAGCACCGTGCACCCAAATCCAGGGAATTCTGAGTTCCCCTGGAGCAGAGGGAGGGATGAAGGCCTTCCTTACCCTCTCCTCCTGCAAACTGGTTGAGTTTGGTGTCATCTGAAAGGAGAAAACACGGCAAAACAGAAAATCAGGAGTTTTCTGTGATATCCTCCTGTTTCCCACCCAATTCCTCCCCCCGGGATGGGATTTCTGGGCAGTTTTAAATCTCTGTGGGAAAGGGAAGCACCTGGAAAAGGCCAGGGGCTGAGCGGGGCGTGGGACGTGGGTTTCCTTCACCGAGGTGGCAGCTGGAGCACAAAAATCCCCAGGAAGGGGTCCAGGGGTCGGTCACTGCTCCCCGTGGGAGCTCTGATCCATCACTGGGTGTCCCTGTTCAGCCGATGGAATCTGCATCCCAAATAAACCCCGGGATGATAAAAATCTGCTTCCGTTCCTTGGCTCGTTCTGGAAGGTTCGGGATCTACCAGACACGGCTTTGTCCCTCAACAGGCGCCACACGACCGCCCTCACCAGGGTGAAATCCTGACCCAAAATTCCTGGGGCTTGGCTTCCAAACCCTGACCCACAATTCCCAGAGCTTGGCTCAGCCTCCAAATCCTGATCCAGAATTCCCAGGGCTCTGCCTTCAAACCCTGATCCAGAAGTCCTGGGGCTTGGCTTCCAAACCCTGACCCAGAATTCCCAGGGCTCAGCTTGGATTCCAAACCCTGTCCAGAATTCCCAGGACTTGGCTCAGCCTCCAAATCCTGTCTAGAATTCCCAGGGTTTGGCCTCCAAATCCCAATCCAGAAATCCCAGGGCTTGGCTTCCAAACCCTGATCCAGAATTCCCAGAGCTTGTCCTCTAAATCCTGATCCAGAATTCCCAGGACTTGGCTTGGATTCCAAACCCTGATCCAGAATTCCCAGGGCTTGGGAACCCATCTCAGACCAGGGCTTGGTCTTCAAATCCTGATCCTGAATTCCCAGGATCTGGATTCCAAACCCTGATCCAGAATTCCCAGGGCTTGGGAACCCATCTCAGACCAGGGCTTGGTCTTCAAATCCTGATCCTGAATTCCCAGGATCTGGATTCCAAACCCTGATCCAGAATTCCCAGAACTTGTCCTCTAAATCCTGATCCAGAATTCCCAGGGGCTCAGCTTGGATTCCAAATCCTGTCCAGAATTCCCAGGACTTGGCTTGGATTCCAAATCCTGATCCAGAATTCCCAGGGCTTGGTCGTGCACCAGAGCTCCAGGAGCAGAACCAGGGGGCTGGAAGGGCTGGGGAGGACACGGATCCAGGGATTTGGGATGACTGGGAAAGATGAGGATCCAGGGATCTGGGCTGGATGGAGAAGACACAGATCCAGAGAGCTCAGCTGATGGGGAGGACACAGATCCAGGGATCTGGGATGGTGAGGAGGTGGATCCAGGGATCTGGGCTGGTGGGATAGATGAAGACCCACCAATCTGGGCTGACTGGGAAGACACAGGGATCTGGGCTGGTGGGAAGGATGTGGATCCACAGAACCTGACTGGCTGGAAAAGACACGGATCCAGGAAAGTGGGATGGTGGGGAGGACATGGATCCAGAGATCTGGGTTGGTTGGACAGGACACAGATCCAGGGACCTGGGCTGGTTGGAGAGGACACAGATCCAAGGATTTGGGCTGGATGGACAGGACACAGATCCAGGGATCTGGGCTGGTTGGACAGGTCACAGATCCAGGGATCTGGGCTGGTTGGACAGGTCACAGATCCAGGGATCTGGGCTGGTTGGACAGGTCACAGATCCAGGGATCTGGGCTGGTTGGAGAGGACACAGACCAAGGATCTGGGCTGGTTGGAGAGGACACAGACCAAGGATCTGGGCTGGATGGACAGGACACAGATCCAGGATCTGGGCTGGTTGGAGAGGACACTGATGGCCAGTTCCCCTGTCTGGTGGAGCCGCTCCTCTGCTGTTCTCCACTCTCCTCCAGCTGCAGCTGCCGTTTGCTCCCTTCCAAGATCACAAATTAACTTCATGCTCTGTGTCACACAGAGCCTCTTGTTCCTTTTTTCCAGGAACCAGCCATGGGCTGGAAAACAATCTCGTGGCGGAGTTCCACCCCCCTCCTCGCCTTTAATTGCTCCTTTCAAAGTCAGCCCTGCCAGGCAGGGGCTCGTTCCCGCACCCAGCTCCTTCCCGGCGCTGAAGGACAATTACGAGCGCTCCTTTCTATTTATCCTAATTAGCACTTGGCGTTAGGGACTATTAAGCAGCCAAATTGCGGCGCTACCTGCGCCAGGATCGGCGGAGCCGGCCCCGTGTTAATGGGATTATGGAGTTTCGGATCCCGGGGGTCTCCAGGGAGATCGGGGCTTTTTGTGGAGCAGCAATCCCAAGAAAAGAGCGATCACCGCGGGAATTCCAGGCTGAGAGTCCTGGCACTAGTGAAATCCCAAACCCCTCTCTCTGGGATTGACTCCTTTAGGATCCCGGGGATCCTCCCCACCAAGACTTGGCTGCTCTCTGACCTTCACAAATGGGTAAAAAAAGCTGGAAAAGCCCCAAAACTCTTCCCACCGTGCCTCACTCCCCCAGCTGTCACTTCCTGGCTGCCCTTCCTTCCCCTTCCCATCATCTCCTGTCTCATCCCTGTCCCAGGATGGGGTTTGGAGCCACCTGGGATGGGGGGAGGTGTCCCTGCCCTGGGGATGGGGTGAGCTTTGAGGTCCCTTCCAACCCAAATCCTTCTGGGATTCAGGAACTTCACAGATCCAGGGACTGCAGATGGAGAAATGGGTCACCTGTCCAGGGACACCCCCAAGATCAAGGTGACCTGTCCAGGGACATCCCCAAGGTCAGGGTCACCTGTACAGGGACATTTTCCTGATCCAGAATTCCCAGGTCTTGGCCATGCACCAGAGCTCCAGGAGCAGAACCAGGGGGCTGGAAGGGCTGGGGAGGATGTGGATCCAAAACCAGATCTGGCTGGGGAGGACACGGATCCAGGGATTTGGGATGACTGGGAAAGATGAGGATCCAGGGATCTGGGCTGGATGGAGAAGACACAGATCCAGAGAGCTCAGCTGATGGGGAGGACACAGATCCAGGGATCTGGGATGGTGAGGAGGTGGATCCAGGGATCTGGGCTGGTGGGATAGATGAAGACCCACCAATCTGGGCTGACTGGGAAGACACAGGGATCTGGGCTGGTGGGAAGGATGTGGATCCACAGAACCTGACTGGCTGGAAAAGACACGGATCCAGGAAAGTGGGATGGTGGGGAGGACATGGATCCAGAGATCTGGGTTGGTTGGACAGGACACAGATCCAGGGACCTGGGCTGGTTGGAGAGGACACAGATCAAGGATCTGAGCTGGTGGGAAGGACACGGATCCAGGGATCTGGGCTGGTTGGAGAGGACACAGATCCAGGGATCTGGGCTGGATGGACAGGACACAGATCCAGGGACCTGGGCTGGTTGGAGAGGACACAGACCAAGGATCTGGGCTGGATGGACAGGACACAGATCCAGGGATCTGGACTGGTTGGAGAGGACACAGATCCAGGATCTGGCCTGCTCGGAGAGGACACTGATGGCCAGTTCCTCTGTCTGGTGGAGCCGCTCCTCTGCTGTTCTCCACTCTCCTCCCGCTGCAGCTGCCGTTTGCTCCCTTCCAAGATCACAAATTAACTTCATTCAGGGTCACCTGTCGGGCACCCACCCTCGGTGGTGAGGCTGTCGAGGAAGAGCGAGGCCGTGGGGGAGGTGACACCGCCGGGCTGCGGTGACACGGAGCTGCCCGGGGGCGCCGAGTAGTGACTGCCTTCGGCCAGATCCTCACAGGTCTTTTCATCCGACTGGTGGAGGAAAAAAAAAAGGAGAATTTGGGTTAAAAGGAGAATTTGGAACTGGTTTTGCCCAGCAGGAATTCCAGGAGGGCTCTGCGGGGTCAAACACTGGAGGGGGAGAGGTCAAGAAGTGACCCAGAGCAGGGAGAAGGGGAGGAAAATTTGGGAAGGATTTCAGCAGCACAAGTGACAAATCCTGGGAGAAATCCTGGAGAGAAATCCTTCGTGCACCTCGGGGTGACCCCATGTGGGTCCAGGGGCCTCAAAGGGTGTGGTGACCTCTGTTCCCCTCACTCAACCCTCTGGTTAATAGGAAATAAAGCTGAGTTTTCAGTAGGGAAGTAGAATAAAATCACTAAAAAAAAGTAGAATAAAATCACTAAAAAAGAGGAAAAAAAACCCAAAAAACATTTTAAAAACTCAGACAAAACCCCCAAACCAAATCAGAAAAAAAAAAAAAGAAAAAAAAAAAAAAAAAAGAGAAAAGGCCAAAGCAGAAGCAGATGTTTGGTCAGAGCTGATTCCTGTGAGCTGTGGGATCATTTTGCTCCCAGGGACACAAACAGAGCTCGCTCCTTCCTGCCTGCAGTGAGTAAGAGTCACGCTCCAGGAGGAGGGGGAATAACGGGAAAAATGGGAAAAAAGGGAAAATGGGGATAAAAGGAATAGTGGGAATAAAGGGGGGAAATGGGAATAAAGGGATATTTAAGGGGAATAAAGAACGAGCTACAAGTGAATCTAAAGGGAAATCCCAAGGAAATAAAGGGAAATCCCAAGGGATATCCAAAGGGAAATCCAGAGGGAAATCCCATGGGATGCTCAGTCTGATCCAGAACACCCTGGGTCACACAGAGATGAGCATTCATTTTTCTGGGGCCATGGATTTTGGGGGGGAGGGCATGGATTTCCTGTGGCTCAGCCCCATTCCCTGCCCTCAGGAAGGAGCTGGAACTGGGATTTATTTGGATTGGGATTTATTGGATTGGGACAGGGACTGGGATTCATTGGGATTGGGACTGGGATTGGGACTGGGATTTATTTGGACTGGGATTTATTGGGATTGGGATTTATTAGGATTGGGATTTATTGGGATTTATTGGATTGGGATTTATTGGGATTTATTGGATTGGGATTTATTGAATTGGGACTGGGATTGGGATTGGGACTGGGATTTATTGGGACTGGGACTGGGATTTATTGGATTGGGACTGGGATTTATTGGAATTGGGTCTGGGATTATTGGGATTGTGACTGGGACTGAGATTTATGGGGACTGGGATTTATTTAGATTGGGATTTATTTGGACTGGGATTTATTGGAATTGGGTCTGGGATTATTGGGATTGTGACTGGGATTGAGATTTATTTAGATTGGGATTGATTTGGACTGGGATTTATTGGGATTGGGATTTATAGGGATTGGGATTTATGGGGACTGGGATTGATTTGGATTGGGATTTATGGGGACTGGGATTTATTTGGATTGGGATTTATTGGGACTGGGATTTATGGGGACTGGGATTGATTGTGATTGGGATTGATTTGGACTGGGATTGATTGTGATTGGGATTTATTTGGACTGGGATTGATTGGATTGGGATTGATTTGGACTGGGATTGATTGGGATTGGGATTTATTGGGACTGGGATTTACTGGGATCTCTGGGCTCACCTGGCCGCAGCCGTAGCTCAGCCACTCCTCCCGGTACCTGTCGAAGCCACTGGAGCACCTGCAGGGAAAATCAGGATTATCCAGGGCCAGGCTGTGGGAAATGGGAAACAGGAAATGTTTAAAACTCGACAGAAGGCTCACAGAGTGTGTGTTGGTATGCAAACTTTGAGATAAGAAATGTTGATTTAGAAATGATACGGAATAGGACAGACATCCTTGAGAGAAAAATGGAATTAGAAAAAAGTTTCAAAAGGTGGCCTGGCAAATGAGACTGGATAATTTCAAGAAACAGAACAATTTTGTATAATAAAATATAATAACTGTATAAATAAAATATAAAAATATGTATAATAGAAGTTGCATTGTAGTAGGGACCACAAGGGGTAATTTTAGATTATTATCTTTAAGGTTTTTACAGCATGGTGTGGATAAAACTGATAGCCAAAAAGAGAGGGGAAATCAGGGGGAAAGGAGAGGGCAAAACAGAGATTTGGACTGGGATTGATTGGGATTGGGATTTATTGGGACTGGGATTTACTGGGATCTCTGGGCTCACCTGGCCGCAGCCGTAGCTCAGCCACTCCTCCCGGTACCTGTCGAAGCCACTGGAGCACCTGCAGGGAAAATCAGGATTATCCAGGGCCAGGCTGTGGGAAATGGGAAACAGGAAATGTTTAAAACTCGACAGAAGGCTCACAGAGTGTGTGTTGGTATGCAAACTTTGAGATAAGAAATGTTGATTTAGAAATGATACGGAATAGGACAGACATCCCTGAGAGAAAAATGGAATTAGAAAAAAGTTTCAAAAGGTGGCCTGGCAAATGAGACTGGATAATTTCAAGAAACAGAACAATTTTGTATAATAAAATATAATAACTGTATAAATAAAATATAAAAATATGTATAATAGAAGTTGCATTGTAGTAGGGACCACAAGGGGTAATTTTAGATTATTATCTTTAAGGTTTTTACAGCATGGTGTGGATAAAACTGATAGCCAAAAAGAGAGGGGAAATCAGGGGGAAAGGAGAGGGCAAAACAGAGGAAAAGGAGAGGGAAAATCAGGGGAAAAGGAGAGGGGAAATCAGGAGAGAATGAGAGGGAAATGAGGAGAAAAGGAGAGGAAAATCAGGAGAAAAGGAGAGGGAAATGAGGAGAAAAGGAGAGGAAAATCAGGAGAAAAAGGAGAGGCAGGAGAAAAAAAAGTTGGGCCTGGCAAATGAGACTGGATAATTCCAAGAAACAGAACAATTTTGTATAATAAAATATAATAACTGTATAAATAAAATATAAAAATATGTATAATAGAAGTTGCATTGTAGTAGGGACCACAAGGGGTAATTTTAGATTATTATCTTTAAGGTTTTTACAGCATGGTGTGGATAAAACTGATAGCCAAAAAGAGAGGGGAAATCAGGGGGAAAGGAGAGGGCAAAACAGAGGAAAAGGAGAGGGAAAATCAGGGGAAAAGGAGAGGGAAAATCAGGGGAAAAGGAGAGGGGAAATCAGGAGAGAATGAGAGGGAAATGAGGAGAAAAGGAGAGGAAAATCAGGAGAAAAGAGAGGGAAAACAGGAGAGAAAGAGAGGGAAAATTCAGGAGAAAAGGAGAGGGGAAATCAAGGGAAAAGGAGAGGGGAAATGAGGAGAGAAGGAGAGAGGGAAACAGGAGAAAAGAGAGGAAAATCAGGAGAAAAGAGAAAAACAGGAGAAAGGGAGAGGGAAAAATCAGGAGAAAAGGAAAGGGGAAATCAAGGGAATTGGAGAGGAAAATTGGGAGAAAAGCAGAGGGGAAATGAGGAGGAAAATTGGGAGAAAAGAGAGGGAAAACAGGAGAAAAGGAGAGAGAAAATCAGGAGAGAAGGAGAGAGGGGAAATGAGGAGAGAGGCCTGGGCTGAGTTTGTGTTTCCATTCCCTGGACTCGGTGCCAGGGCAAGGCTGTGAGACCCACGAGGTTCACTGGGCTCCTTCCAGCAACATCTGCAATAGGACAGACATCCCTGAGAGAAAAATGGAATTAGAAAAAAGTTGGGCCTGGCAAATGAGACTGGATAATTCCAAGAAACAGAACAATTTTGTATAATAAAATATAATAACTGTATAAATAAAATATAAAAATATGTATAATAGAAGTTGCATTGTAGTAGGGACCACAAGGGGTAATTTTAGATTATTATCTTTAAGGTTTTTACAGCATGGTGTGGATAAAACTGATAGCCAAAAAGAGAGGGGAAATCAGGGGGAAAGGAGAGGGCAAAACAGAGGAAAAGGAGAGGGAAAATCAGGGGAAAAGGAGAGGGGAAATCAGGAGAGAATGAGAGGGAAATGAGGAGAAAAGGAGAGGAAAATCAGGAGAAAAGGAGAGGGAAATGAGGGAGAAAAGAGAGGAAAATCAGGAGAAAAGAGAAAAACAGGAGAAAGGGAGAGGGAAAAATCAGGAGAAAAGGAAAGGGGAAATCAAGGGAATTGGAGAGGAAAATTGGGAGAAAAGCAGAGGGGAAATGAGGAGGAAAATTGGGAGAAAAGAGAGGGAAAACAGGAGAAAAGGAGAGGGGAAATGAGGAGAAAAGGAGAGAGAAAATCGGGAGAGAAGGAGAGAGGGGAAATGAGGAGAGAGGCCTGGGCTGAGTTTGTGTTTCCATTCCCTGGACTCGGTGCCAGGGCAAGGCTGTGAGACCCACGAGGTTCACTGGGCTCCTTCCAGCAACATCTGCACAGGAAAAACACTGCAGGAGCTCCAGATGACATCAGGCAAACACCAGCCCGAGAATTCCCTGCAGGAACAGGGAATGGAGCAGAGCTCTGACCTTTGGAAAGGCTCAAACTCCAAATAATTCCTGCAAAAATCAATTTACCCACCAGGGAAAGGAAAAACCACAACGAAACTTCTGAGATCTTTGCTTAAATCCAGTTCCTGTCACAAGTATGAGCTCAGCAGAGGTTAAAAAAATACAGATTTTATTATTTAGGAGAGAGCTGGGAGCACTCAGGGTTGGAATCACGAGGCTGGGATGTCAGCTCCAAGCCTGGAGCTCTTTGGGAAGGATCATCTGGCTCTGCAGGACCAGCCTGGCTGGTGACAGTGATGACAGTGGCCCCCCTGCCCCAGCTCTCCATTCCCAGTGGAATTCCCAGCGGGAAGCTGAGCTGTCCCCAGGGACACGGGGCTGGCACCAGGGTGGCACCAGGGACAGGAGTGAGCACCAGCAATGGCAGCTGGGTGAGAAAGGGTTAAAGGGGGTGAGGAAGGGTTAAAGAGGGTGAGGAAGGGTTAAAGAGGGTGAGGAGGAGCTGGGATGAAATTCCCAGAGGAGCTGTGGCTGCTCCTGGATCCCTGAAGTGTCCCACCCTGGGACAGGGGGAGGTGGCCCTGGTGGCACTGGGGTGGCACTGGGTGGGATTTGAGGTCTCTTCCACCCAAACCATTCCAGGATCCGATAAAATCCCATTTGCCAAACCATGGAATTGGGAACAAACAGGACAAGGAAGGCTTTGAACAGGGCTCAGCCCAAACCAAATCCCTGGAAGTGTCCCAGGAGCAGCTTAGGACAGGGGGAGGTGGCTCTGGTGGCACTGGGGTGGCACTGGAGGGACTTTGAGGTCTCTTCCAACCCAAACCATTCCATGATCTGATAAAATCCCATTTGTCAAACCATGGAATTGGGAACAAACAGGACAAGGAAGGGTTTGAACAGGGCTCAGCCCAAACCAGAGCCCTGGAAGTGTCCCAGGAGCCGCTTAGGACAGGGGGAGGTGGCTCTGGTGGTACTGGGGTGGCACTGGAGGGACTTTGAGGTCTCTTCCAACCCAAACCATTCCATGATCTGATAAAACCCCATTTGGGATTGGGAACCAGCAGAACAAGGAAAGGTTTGAACAAGTCTCAGCCCAAACCAGACCCAGGCTCAAGTTCTGCCACCAAAGCCACACCGGGGCGGGATGAGAATGTCCCCGTGCCACAGAGCCACTGCCAAGTGCCACCAGCCTGGCTCGGGGGTGTCACAGGGACCCAGAGCTCCTTCGGGGTGGCTCAGGGGACGGGGAGGGGGTGGCAGGTGCCCTCAGCAGAGCGGGATTTCCACGGCACAGGATCTGTGTTACTGGGTCCCCTCCCCTGCCACCAGCTCTCAATAAATCCTGCAGCTCAATCTCATTAAATCTCCTGCTCTGCACAGCCCTGCCCGAGCTCCACGTCCTCCATTCAACCCCAAAAAATCAGGAAAGTCCCCCCCCACACCTTTGCTGGCCCCATTCCTGACGAGCAGGGGCTGTCACACACAGAGGAGTGTCCCCAACGCTGTCCCCTCCCTGCTGTCCTTCCCCTCCCTGCACTTCCACTGATCCCAGCCCGAGTCAGGACAAGTTTCCCCCGTTTTCCAGCTCACTGACAAAAAAATCTGAGTCCTGCCTCAGGTCCCAGCTTGTTCCAGGAATAAAAACCCCAGGAAATGCAGCTTTGGAGTGGCTTGGAATTGGAGATGAGGTCACGGCTGAACCGCGACTGTGGGGCCAAGAGCAGCACCCCAGCACCCAAAAAACAACAAAAAAAGGGGAAATAATTTTAAAAAAGGCAGGAACACTGATGGGAAGAGCACGGGGCAGCTGCCAGGGAAGGGGGCTGGGGGCAGTACCTCTGCAGGACGTGGCACCAGCTGCAGTTGAAGGTCAGCTCCGAGCCCAGGCACGTTTCACAGCTCTGGTGCTGCAGGCAGGCTGCAAAACAGAGAGGAGAGGCTCCAGCCAGGCTGTGGCAGCAGCTCTCTGGCCACAGAGACAAACACAGCTTCCCCAAGCATCATTCTTGGAAAAGCTGTGAGAAAATCAGGGAAAAAAAAAACAAAAAAAAAAAAAAAAAAAAAAAAAACAATTTTTTTCCCAAAAAAAAT